GTGCTAACGGCTGTCTAAATGGCTCAGGTAACGTTTGTAGCATGCGTGCTTGTTGTTTTTGTTTGCTTCCACTTGTCTTTGCACTAGGATGCTATCAGAGTAAATGTGCAGTCATATTCGTTGTGTTTCCACTAGTGCTGTCAGCGTTAATCTCGTTGAAATGACGTTAACGCCACAACACGGCAAATCTCCGTTAACGAGCTACTGCGGATCGCCCTGTGCGTGGGACTGGACGGCGTCAACACGTTAACGAGCAAACTGCGCTAACGCACTAGTTCCCACCAATGTAATTGAGCATTGCGTGCCACATCCGACATACTGTTTTACTTTTGTCCATGACGTGCTTACCTTCTGGGTCATACCTCACATGAAAACCAAAATAGTTCCAAACGCCAGATCTGAATGAGGGTGGGGGAGGTTCAATTTGCCATGTTGCAACGAGCTTAGCTTCTGTCTTGCTAGCTTGCCCTGCGCTCAGTGAATCTGCGTTCGACTACTCCGCCTAGGCTGCACTGTCGAGCGCAGATCCACTAAGCGCTCAACACAGACAGCACCGTCAGAAGGAAAGTTGATGAAATAAATTAAAAATTTTGTATTGTTCATACATATGGGTACCAAACCGAAAGCACTGTATCGAAGTATTGTTGCGCCCCTAAGTATTACCTATGTTTAATTTCAGTTCTCAAGCAGCACATATAACCGTCCTGCTTGAGTTAATAAAGGGCAAACATTCCCAGTTTATCTTACCATCAACATCCCAATTAAATCCTTGTGCTTTGCAGTATATACAGTAATTAAACACCTGTGTTGGCCATTTTATCAAAGAAAATGTCTAAAAGTGAATATATAAAGTGACTCAAAACAAGAACATGATTAAAGTTTAAATAGAAAAATATAAACCAGATAAAGACCTGAAACACAAACACAAGTAATTTTCTGATTTTGCTCTAAAAGTCTGCTTATCATTGTTGAAAAAAATCGGAAAACATTCATTGCAAGAATCTCATTGTTACCCGTTACATTTCAGCACAGAGGCGGAGGGAAGAGCTGAGAAAGTGAACAGCTGTGTGTCTTAATTGATGGCACAATGTCAAGCACACGGCCCACTTTAGATTTTTGAGTCACGCTTGTTCTCTTAAGTGGCAGCATAAACTTGGTTTTGTTTAATTGTTTTTGTGTATACAAAAGGTAATGCGAAGACAAGAAAAGACAAAAGATTTTAAACAAGAAAAGCCCGGAGAGCAGATTGAATCAAATACTGTACATAAGTAGCTTAAAATTTCACAGTTACTGTACTTTACTCATACATTCGAGTCTTATGCATGATCTATTTTGCTGTATGTCTATTCATACATACAGTAAATTCTACTGAGCCCCAAATAAGATATGCTTATTAAACACAATGTATTATTAACAATCACATTTTTGGTTTCAAAAATTTGTGGCTTGTCCCACATATAAGGTCTGCCGTTTTTGGGGCCCAATGTCAGCCTTCAGAGGGATAACTGTGTAAAATGTTACTTTTGTTTTACCTCATAATAATCTAATCTTGCAATCTAACCTATGCAAAAAGACAACTTTGTATTGTAAAACTATGTTAAGTATTAGACTGCGCTGGTTGTGGACACACTCTGTACTACTGCAGTTAGAAAGATAAATAGAGGAGCTCTCCCAGCTCTCTCACTGCTCAATGCTGCTGAGGCTGATTGAGACAGGCAGTAGCTGAGATTATGATTGCAGCCATGCGGTGACATAGCGATCACTGTGGCTGCAGCCACAGCTTTGCTTTGGGTGTTATGATTATGGTTATGAAACATTAGTTTATAATAGTTGGGCGTGCGCAAATTATTAATATGACTGTGCTGCTTGAGAACTGAAATTAAACTTTTTTTTCTAAACTCCTGTGAACTAATGGCAATAAATAATAATAAATCTGATAAAAAGCACACAGGTTGCAACAGTTAAAGAGGGACTATTATTCTTTTCACTGTTTCATCTAATGGGTAAAATATTACTAATGTGGATTCTTAAATTAAACTTAGCCAAAGGTCAAATAATAAATAAATAAATGGACGCATCTGCAACTACTGAGATCGACTTGTTCAAGGCCAATGTTTATGCTCAGTTTTTGAATTTATCAGTGAGAGAAGCATCACATCATCTCATCGACTCATTATCATTATGTCATAGTATCAATATAAAAACTCACAAATGCCAACAAATTCCTGTAGGGAGATTGTTGAAGCTATCTACATGAATGATGGAAAATGTATAAAGACCTCAAAAAAGTTGAGCAATAAATATAGTTGACTTGAGTGGGGATATGGGAGGGGGAAAAGTTTTATCGTGGCTGGTATTGCATAGCATAAAGTTACACTGCAGAAGTCTAAACCACCAAACAGACTGCATATAACAGATGGACAAAGCCACAAAGCTTGAAGCTACAATGTTAGCACTTTGGTAATGGAGCCAGAAGTGATCATGTTCGTACAAGAGGGTGAAGTTAGAAGCAAATTCTAGTAAGCTTGAATCTGTAGTGCACGGGTGCAATCCACAAGTCCAAGAATTTCCCTCACCAAAAATTAAAAACATTTTAAAACAATGGCAAAATCATTTAAATGCCGTGTAACATGAGAGTCATCGGGGTGTATGCTGTTCAAACCTTCTGTTAACGAGGGGCTGCTTATCAGAAGACAGATGACCCAAAGAGAGGGAGGGGGAAATGTGCTAAAATGGTTGTTATAGCAATTCTTATAATAATGACACTAATAGTAACAACAACATTTTAAATGTAGATGTGTCACATCAGCATATTTTCTTTCTGCAGAGAATTTCCCTAATGTGGCAGTGGATTATAACTACACTAATGTTCCATACACTGACATGACAGATGATTATGACTTTTTAAATTGATTAGCTGTAAAATATTCATACTGATGCACTATTGACTGTGGCTCGTCTCCAAACAAAGTGGCACTGAACATGGAAACTGCACATTCACATGGGATTCCCACATTTTTACACAACTATTCATGGTTTATTGATGAGCTGCTGGTATCACGCTTAAGTGGATTAAAATAACCCACACATTTGTCTGGTTTGCTTCATGTGTTGCCATGAACCAGGCGGAGAATATTTTCCTCTTTCGGCAGCACACACACACACACACAAGCAAATGTAAACCTTTCAATGAGTGAATTGAAAATTCAAGCAAAAGAGAGGCTTCACAAGTCAGACTGGGCCTGACTCTGCATTAAGATGTCACTTTGACAGATACGCAGTGAACCAATCATGACTGAACTAAGAAGGCATGAAAATAAGAAGTGACAAGGGACCCCAGCAGTTTTCAGACTCGCACAGAGGAAACATGAATGAACAGAACACCCACTATGAGAGGAACACCTCCATGCTCAGTATGCAGAGAAGAAACAGCTCCCTGTCTAAGTGGGCAGGCAGTCAGCATGGGGAATATCAATAGCCAGTTTCAATAACATTTGTATCGACCTTCGTCTGTTGTCTGGGGCCTGGCTGTGTGGCATTTTCTTTTATGGCTGGGACACACTCCGAGAAAAAATACAGCCAGCGTTGCAGTGAAAAATCTCTGAGGTGAAAAGCAGAGCAAAAATCCAAACAGAACAAATCAATTTTCATCAGATGAGGGAGTGAATGTGAGCGGGGATCAATCAACCAAAGTCATGGTGTGAAAGAACAGTGCGGAGTTTCTGCTGTACTCCGGCCGTACAGGGGAGAGTTTCCAGCAGCCCAGCTTCACTGAGCACCTGCAGCTGATGCATGAAGTGAGATTTGTGGGAGACGTTAGAAGGACAAATCAACTTCTCTAGTGTGGAAAACATGAACAAAGTCACTGCACTGCATCATAAATTCAAGATTTACTGAGTAGATTTGCAACTGAATGAGATTCCCAGAACAACATCACAGTATAACTTTACATGCTGACTAAATAAACGTGCCATGT